ATTGCTTTTTTCTCATATGATGTAGAAATAAAATTATTACATTTTAAACAAAGACTTGCAAGTATATAGTATATACAAAGTTGCATGTGCTATGCCCAATCTATTATCATTTCCATCAGTCAACCTCTTTGTATATAACAGTAATATTGTACAAATATTCGGATAAAAATGTTGAAATTTTCTTAAGGGTTATTCTTTTAATTTTGTTCTAATTTTTATTGGATTTGGCTTAGTCTTGATCATTTATTTTATTATTGCTTCGATAATTAGGTCGAATAGTGTTTATTTGAATTGTCACATGAACAACGGTTTGTTCATGATTTTGCAAAAAAGAAATTAGAATCGTTACTTTAGATGTATAGCAAAGACAGATAATTTAGAGATGATATTCAGATTAATCTTTCTCCATTGGACAAACAAAATTAAAAATGAATATGTATCAATTACCAACCATGGATATTCATACTTTTTTTTAAAACATTTTATATTTGATGAACATAAGCAAACGAAGACATCAATAACTCATAGTTAATCTACATTTACTTAAGCAAAGTATAGTCACTTGAATTTGAATTGTGATGGTATCCGATTCCATGGCGCATGTTAGGAAACCAGGCGGATATTGTAGAAATAATTCCAGCAACAACAGGCAGCCACTTCAAGAAAGAACTCGTGTCCAAAGAAGGATACAAGCAGTTCAATGTATTAGGATCAAATAGAACCAGCACGCCTAACACAATCAACGATAACAAAGCATGAGCAAAGTCACCAACCTTCAGCTTGTAATCATCCGAAACCTCTGCATGCGGCCAAAGGCGGCCGCTAGTGGTCACAATCCCGTACTGCGTTACGCTATCTTCTTTATAACTGTCGGTAAAGCTAGAGAAAACACAAAGAAAGCCGCAAACGGCGATGAGAATGATCATTAGGGTTTTTTCGGTGGTGTCGCAGGTACCATTGTTAGATATTAAAGTGTTGAGGAACATGAACAGGAAGACTGTTCCTGTTGGGAGGAGTTTGACGAGATTTGCAAGGGCTTTGAGTGTTGTTTCTGTGGCCATTTTGCTGTGTGATTATAGCAAAAAATATTGGGTTTATAGAGGAAGAGAACTGAACGAACCAATGCAAGAAACAACCTACCGAGAAGCGTTGCTTTCACATATCGTGTAAGAAATTAATCCACCAGTAGCATTTCTTGCCATGATGAAATACATGTATAAAAAAATTACTTTTCTTCTTATGAAATAGAAGAAAACTGAACTTTAAACAAAGATTAATTTTGTCAAAGTCTACGTTCAAAAAATTGTTCATCGAATCATAGAAGGATACGGGGAAGTCGACATATTCTGATAAGAGAAGGACAACGTACCAGAGATTCTTATTTTAGATTAAACACGGAGGCTATAGAAACTTTGCCTTCATAAATTTTTTAAAATAATCTTATAAAAATTAATGATTAATCCAGTGTCATAAATATAATAATCTAGAAATTACCTTTGGATGGTCGAGTGATTCGATAGAGACTTTTAGATATATTACTCAAGAGTTGCTGAGTTCGAATTCATCATCGAGTGCTAATAGAGATAGCCACTTGAACTCTTACTTAGCCGGTAGTTTCAAGATTTTTGGAGATTAGTTGAGGTGTACGTAAACTGACCCGAACAACCTCTCTCTCTCTCTCTCTCTCTCTCTCTCTCTCTCTCTCTCTCTATCTATATATATATATATATATATATATATAACCTTTTTTTAGTGCTTTTATTTCCTGGAAAATAATACAGTCACCGAAGTAGCGCACCGAATTCATGCACCGAATGACATGGCTCAATCCTGACCGTTAATTAATTATGAATTAATATTAATCGACGGTCAATATTTTTTCACGTCATTCGGTGTATGAATTCGATGCACTACTTTCGGTGACTATAGCATTACTCTTATTTCCCATATGTCTGAATCTTTGCAAAATGAGTATCAATTACGTCAGAGAATTAATGGATTGTGTAAGATTCATTAAGCACATTAGAAACATATTTTGGATACAATTAATGAAGTGTTAATGTAAACTTCCATATAAAATTTCATGGCATACTTCTTATTATGTTAAAAAAGATTATTTTTAAGTGTAAATTTAAAAGGATTTCATATGATTGTACTGTAGGAAAATTCTTACACATTAATTAAGTTTTTCGTATTTCAAATCTTTGTAATTTTATAATCTATTTTTGAAGTTTTATTCAGTGGAATATTAAATGAATGAAAAGATGATGAAAAAGAGTGATATATGAAGATAGGAGTATTTTTGTCCACGCAGAGATTATGTGGTCATTATCTGGTCGATAGTTCCAAGGTTCTGACATTTGGAAAATTATTTGAGGTGCGTGTAAGTTGATCCGAACACTCTCGATCATTAAAAAAAAAAAAAAAAAAAGATTAAGGCTCCATTTGGTTAATTATTGGGTAGTTTTTAGAGTAATATTTTGAAAAAAGTTAAATTAGGTGGCTATTATAATGTAGAATTTTAAAAATTAACAAAAATACCTCATATATTTATTTATTTACTAAACACCCCTATAATAAAATATTCAAAGTTAACAAAAACACCCACAACCCACTCATTAAATACACACAGCCGGCCACCACCGCCGAAGGGTGGTCGGAGTAGCCATATCGATATGGCCTTTTCCGATCAGATCCATCGTAGATCTAGCCGGAAAAAGTCAAATCTACGGCTAGATCTGGCCATTGATGGCCAGATCTGGCTGCATTCGACCGTCATTGATGGTCAACAACGACCCTATCTTGGCCGTCATTGACGACTGTCAACGGCCAAAGATCTGGCCATTGACAGCCACATCTTTGACCGTAGATCTGGCCTTTTCCGGCCAGATCCACTGTGGGTCTGGCCGGAAAATGCTAGATAGGCGCACTACCGGCCAGATTCAGCCGGTAGTGCGCCATTACACCAGATTCCGGCCAGCTTTTAGCAGTGGTGGCCGGAATCTGGTAAATTTGGGTTGCTATGGTGTTTTTGTCAATTTTTTTAAAAAAAATTGGGGGTTATTTAGTTAAATTAATAAATTTAAGGGGTTTAAAAGAAATTGAATAATTTATAATTGTATTTTGAAAATAGGTGAAGCGAACACAAATTTTGTGTTAACTTTATTGGGAAAACTAATATATGTACCAAACGAGCCTAAGTGGCCAAGTTGTGATGCAGTTAATATATGTTGTCATTTTGCTATTGTTAACCCCAAATTTGGTCATTGCACCTAATTTAATCATTTAATTAGTTGGCTATGCTTGGTATTAAGATGAAAATAGCATGCAAGTAGAGAATGACTGGACTTGGAGTTTGGTCAAGCACGTTGTCATTACTCATTATTATGCTGAAAGCTATGCTTCAACAGTAAAATTACGTGCAGGAAAATGTGTTTTTTTGATGGATAATCTAAACAATGAGAGTAAAAAATTAAAATCACTATTAAACAGGATCATATGGTAGTCTTAAGAACTAGGAGCGGGAAAAGTTCAATTATAACATCAACGTGTTTATATATTGTTGATGCGTGATTTTGACACCAACAAAATGGAAGTGTGAAATGCTGAACTGGTTCAGAAGACACACATGAATGCAAGAAAAAAAATAAGAGTAAATGCAAGAATATATAGCATTCACTCTCTTGTACTATCATTTGTAAGTCAGTCCGCTAACGCGAACTGACTTCTATCATTAATACAAACATCAGTGGCCGTAGAACTTAGCATCCGAACCACTTTAAAAGCTGTTCCTATTGCATTTACTCTCATTTTTTTTCTTGCATTCACGTGTGTTTTCTGAGTCAGCTCAACATTTCACACGTGCGTTTCGTTGGTGTCAAAATTACGCATATATAATTCATTACCAATCTTATGAACTAATAATTCTGTGTGTTTATGAACTAATCATTTATTTGATGGCAATAAATGTAAAAAAAGTGAATATATAGTACCCGGATTCAATAAACTGTACATATACAAAATCAAAATTATATTATTTCAAAACACAAAATTTATTAAATACGATTTAATTGAAGAAAATAAACTAATATAAAAGAATTAACTGAAACTAACCTAATAATTATAAAAGCGATAAGTGGAGATGCAGGGGATCGAACCCTGTACCTCTCGCATGCAAAGCGAGCGCTCTACCATTTGAGCTACATCCCCATTTGTTTTATTTTTGTACAATTTTGTATAATTAACTGGAGATAAATATTGCCTACTATTCGTCCTATTTGGATGGTTAAATTATAAACAAGTATTATCATAATGTTTTTAATATTTAGTAAATTAATGATAATCCCAGAGAGTATATAATATACTTTAGAAACTCATAGGTGCTTTTTTTGTTTCACCATCTTTTGGAGTGTATGATAATAATAACCCGCTAATAAAACAATTTTACAGCTCTTTATGTTAGACTTGATGTATCGTGTTTTTTTGTGTAGTGTAATTTTATTTATATGCTATTAATTAATCACGAATATTTGTTTTTCGTTGTGTAATCTCTTAAAAATTTGATGAAAGATTATTCACACACACATAAGAAATAAATATAAATTAAATTATTATATTTATTTATAATAAACGTTAATAAAACAAGTTACTAAAATATAACAAATTTTAGAAGTATAAATTAACTCTCAAACATAATTCAAATATTTTTTTGAAATTGTACATGCGCTCGAAGACGACAGCTTCGCACAAAACCAAGACTCAATAGTCGTAGGGGACACGACCCACAGGTCTCATTAGTTGACTTCACAACACACTCGAAGTTAATGGTTGCCTTTATACACCATAGTATAAAGTTTAGCTCAGATGGTTGAATGAATCTAATCCAGCAGTTCAAATTTAATCAAATTCAATCCATGAAAATAATTTCATACATGTAAACTTAACAGATACAAAGAAGATGACAAGATGAACGTAAATAATAATTAACTTCGTAGAGAAAATCAAGAAAGCAAAGTATAATCACTTGGAATGTATCCGAGTCCATGGCGATTGTTCGGAAAAAATGAATACATAACGGTAACGAAACCAGTGACAAAAGGCAACCATTTCACCAACAAAGCCCTCTGAGAAAAAGAGTAAAAGCACTCAACTATGTCAGGATACAAAAGAACCACAACCGAGAACACGACAGCTGACATGAGAGCATGAACGAAGTCAGAAAACCGTAGCTTGTAATTTGACAAGTTGGCCGATGTAGAGTGATGTTTATGCGGCCAAAGGCCGGTGGTGGTGACGATCCCGTAGTGGATGTGGCCATCACTGTCTCTGTAACTATCAGTGAAGCAAGAGAAGACGCAGGAGAAGCCACAAAAGAAAACCAGAACGGTGGCGAGGCACTTGTTGATGGTGTCGCAATTGCCTTCGTTTGTTAAGAGAGGACAGAGGAAGAGGAACGTGAAGATTGTCCCGGTTGGGAGGAGCTTCACGAGTTTTGCAAATACTGTGAATTTGGCCATTTGTGGTTTACGGATTTAGCAGGAAAAGATTAATATATCAAAAGAATATTGAGATAATATATATGAGGAGAGAGTTGGTTGTATATATATAAGCAGAGACTCGAGCATTTGCTTTCAAATAATGTATAAAAAGAAAAGGAAAGAAAATTACAGGCCAGAAGGATCTTAAACATTAAAAGGGTTACCTTTATGTGAAGTTAGATAGCTTTTAAACTACTCAAAACAGAAAAATATGAAAGGCAAAAAGATATCCAGTCAGAAGGTAATTTTCATTTTTGGTTATTTAATTAAGTTTTGAGAATCTGGTTGATCACAAAGAGAGAAGACGAATTTCACAAGCAATTTGATAGATTATCTTATCCCTTTTCAGAAAAGGATAATATACCAGACATAAAAGAAAAGACCGTTATATATATCCATAGGATCTCTATTTTGTAATATGCCAGTTGAAATTTATGTCTTGCAAGAAAACTATTACGAGAAATATTAAAGTTGAGAATTTCAAAGAAAACCTTCAAGAGAATCTATAAACCATATACTTGCAATGAATTGAATAAATATTAATGGAACAAAGGGTTATCGTTTTGTTTTTTGTTTTTTTGTTTTTGGTAACAGAGGTGTTCGCATCAATTTACACATACCTCAACTAATCTTGAAGATCCATTGAACACTCAAAAAAACCTAAAAAACCACGTAAACCACAATATTATTTTAATAGGTGGCCTCAAAATTTAAACTCAGGAACTCAATGAAGAGAACAAACTTCTTTGACCGTTATGTCAACACCTTGAGGTTGTTATCATTTTGTTTCCATTCTTCCACTAACTCAAATTAAGCATTTAAAAACCTAAATTAACTAAATCAAGGAGAACTTAGCATCCAAATATAGTGAGAAGAGAAATTATATATATTCAACAAAAGAAATTATTTTTCATGTTCTATTTGGTAATATAAGGAAAACATTAAGTATGTAAAAAACTCTGATACATGATAAATGAGTTTAGGTAAAACTCATTGTCAAAAGCTAGTTTAAGGATGGAAAAAATCGAACCACATATATAAACCACCAATTTGATGATATGAGACAAATTCAGTTTCTAACAAAAAGCCATAGGTTATTGGGTTTTACCTTGTCTCTTAAAGGTAAATAGTATATTAAGCTTGTTGTGCATCTATTTCTATTCCAGGAAATTCTTGAAATTGTGTGTAGAGTTGTTCTTTTAAAAGAAAATATTGTCATTTGGGTAAAGAAAATTCTTTCATGGCGATCAAATTATATCAACTGTCTACACTACTCATTCTTTCAATAATTATTTGTTCTAATATTCAAGGTTAAATCATGAAATATGTTTTCGTTGCCACTGGAACATTATATAAATACATTTAGACAGATTAATACACAATATAATAAGTTAAGAAATAAGAACTTCATTATAAAAAATCAAGACATATATGACACTCTTTCCTATTCTTTATAAATTAATCATGATACAAAGTTCAGACAAGTGAAAAAAAAAAAAAATCAAACAAATTTAATTTGACAGAGGGAAATTAAAAAAAAAAAAAAAAGAACAATTTTCTCGGAAAATTAAAAGAAGGGACAAAGGTTTTCATTCTTTCTCGGCGACCAACCAAACTGAATTTAGACGCATTATTAATATGGCCTAAGATTTATCCTCCGAAGAAGAGTCACTTGAAGAAGATGAAGGGTACCCAATTCCATGGCGAGTGTTAGGGAACGCCATGAACACCCCACCAGAAATGACACCAATAACCGGAGGCAACACCATCAGCAAAATCTTCTCACTGGACTCAAAAGAAGGATAAAAGCACTCCACAGTGTTGGAGTCCAAAAGAGACACCACACCGAAAACGATGATGGAAAAGAAAGCATGGACAAAGTCACCAAACCGCAGCTTATATTTCGACAAGTCCACCGAACCCGCGTTAGTGGAGGGCCAAAGCCCCGTGGTGGTCACAAATCCATAGTGAGTCTTGCCATCGCTGCCTTTGTAGCTGTCCGTGAAGCAAGATAAAGCGCACGACAAGCCGCAAAGGCCGATGAGAAAGCTGGTTAGGTACTTGTTCACAGTGCTGCAATTACCATTATTGGTTAACACTGGGTTGAGGAATTGGAACACGAAGACGGTTCCTGTTGGAAGGAGCTTGATAAGGTTGCCAAGACCTGTGAAGGTTTTATCGGAGATAGAATTAGAACTGGAGGAAGAGACCATCTTGGTTGATGAACTGATCTTTTTGGACTTTGGTTATAGCTAGAACGTTAAGTAGTGGGAAAATATTCTGATGAGTTGAGCGTAAAGTGTTTTAGCGAGTATTTATAGAGAGAGATGGAGATGAATGTGCATACATAAAGTTTGTAAATAGTAGTGGGGAAGAGGTTGCTTCTACGTAAAATGGAGTTTATCGGGGAGGCGAGAATGGTTTTGCTTTTACTCTAACGGAAGGTGTGGGCTTCATGCTAATCCAAGCTTAAGCTTGCAGGATTGAATTTGTCTAAATTCTTTATTGAAATAAATGTGTTAGTTATTATAACAGTTGGAAACAACACAACAAATTCTCTATAGCGACTTCTTCAATTAAAGTATTTTATTTATTTATTCTTTCTGTATAACTTAATTTTAAGAATCGTATTTATACATGGAATATATATCAAGTTTTCCATTTCAAATACTGTGTTATTACATCAATCGTTATCATATCAACTTATCATTTATAACATTATACTATTCAGAAGAAAATTTTGAATACTATTTCAGATATATGATATTTAGAAGAAAACTTATGTCCGACCAACTAAATAATCCACCCCTAGGCCTCTTGTAATAAGGTTATCATGTATGGGATTTAAAAAATATATTCAAACTTATAAATTTAGATCAACTACCTAAATATTTATGAAGATTCAATCCTAGCAAGATCGTTATAGTGTACAAATTAAGCAAAATACAAGGATATATCTTATTATCATTTTTTTTTGTTAAGTGATATATCTTATTATCTGTCGCAGTATATACTATATAGATATAATGTTTCGTAGAAAAACGGAAATTGACCTATTTGACCAACTTTGGGTGTCAAAGTATTATTCATATATATACTCTACTGTTTAAGATAACTCAAATGATTGTTTTTGGTTAAAAAAAATTCTTTTAGCTGGAATGTTAGAATTTATTTGACAAGTCAATTTCGCCCAAAAAAAGAGGAAAATAGAGATTGAAGTCGAATAGGGTTCGAATGAATTCGAGCACTTTTTTTTTATGACTGGGAGTGTTCGGATCAGTTTACGCACACTTCAACTAATCTATTGGGATCCTAAAAAAATCGGAAGTCATTGCAAAGGATGTGGAGAAACACGGAGGAGTATCCGTAGAAGGTGTTTCTCGCTCATAGCGGGTTTCCACCGTGCCGTCTGGGAGGGTCTGAAAAGTGCAAGTGGTGGTCTGCACTGGCTGATTAGTTTCAGCCGTAGGATGAAGCTTCTCATAGGCTGTGAGCCAGCGTTCTGGCATAAGAGTCGGTCGAATATGAGCTCCAGTTACCCCTATTAGTACCTGAGGAGAGACTTAAATTCAAGACCTTTTGAATAATATACCTAAGGGTCTCTATCGACGAGCACTTAAGATTCATTAAGTCATACTATTAATTTGTTTCCTTTTTTATGTACAAAACACATTTTTAGCATCCCATAAATCTTCTACAACCACATTATTTCAGAAAAACCTTTAAGTCATGATAAACAAATTATAGAGGCAATAGACAGAGCTCTTATTTGTATATGTTGATGTTGGGTTTTGACACCAACGACATTTTATGTGCAAAGTGTTAAGAAGGTTTTAAAAATTACACGTGGCTAATTATGAGATTGATTAAAGGTCAATGTTTTCAAAGTTGCATGCAAAGACTTAATATAAAAGAGACGATAAGAATTTTTTTAGTGATTCAAATGCTTAAAACGATTCCTACATCCACTGTTTTCTTGTATATGAGTGTTCTTGGTGATTAGTCAAGTTACAAGAGGTCACGAACAGCGAACTGAATTACAAGTATTTGGTATTCAAAGAGAATATTAAGTTAGTCTCTTTCTCGTAAGGTGCCTTTGCTATTTGTTTTATTGAATTCAAAGTGTCTGATCCTGATTTTGTTTGGGGGAGCTGCCTATTTATACCCGCTGAGTTCAAGGTAATGATTATAAGTCTGCAAGTGAGTATGTGTCGTACAAATCATTCCTTGCGTCCCATTGATTGATAATTTAGGAAATATCCTTAAATTAAATGGGATTTGGATTGATGTGCAAACCAAATTCATTCACAGACAAAACTTGAATTGCTGAATTGGTGACAACTATATTCTTTCTGTCTTGGGCCGATGTGGCAGACTCTAGATGGCGTAAAGCCTTCTTAAACTCTAATTGGTGATTACTGATGTAAACTTACGTCATCCCTAATTTTGTAGGCATAACAGTATACTTGATTGTTTGGTAAGCAGGTGACTTGACAAATAAAATCTTTGTTGGGTTGCTTGTTTATTGAAGACTAAGAAATTGATTGAATGGTCAAATCTAAACGTTCTTAAAAAAATAGGGTTTAAGCTTCAATGTAACCCTGAAAAATTGGTCAAATAAATTGATTTCTCTTTACTGAGATTGAAGCCGTCAAGGCGCACGTGGCATTTAAAAATAAATAGCAGCCTACGTTTTACTTGCCCAGAATCCTTTTCCTGGATATAACCTTCTTCAAGGTGAACGACATAGTATATATAATTATAAACATTAATAAAATAAGCAGTAGTCTTGAGCTAATATACGTATTTGTATTTCGCAATTGGCATTAGTTTTAGTACAGGGCCTACAATTTTACGTATAATTAATACAGAAATCATGGTGGGATGCATTGGTTTAGGTTCAGTTAATTATAGTAAAAAAATCACTTTAATTCGCATACAAAGCACGTTCAAAATTAAAGAGGAATAGAATCCAGTTTTGACTTCAAGCTCTGCTGCATGCGTGCTTATCTACCAGTCTTGTTTATATCCAAGTATTAGCAGACTTAACTAATTATAATAAACAATACAAAGGATGATTCTGGCCTAACTCTAAGCCATATAACTGACGAATAATCAAATATTTTAACACCAAATGACTGGTGGATCAATCCAAAAATGGATTAATGTTTTAAAGTTTTCGGGAAACGACAATTTCATGGTCAACAGTTTGCTAATTGACAAACTAAAATGCTCATCAAGCAGATTACGGAAAGAACTCTACTTGTCCAGTCCAGTCCAGGTACATTTAACCTCCATCCCCAACGAATTAATCAATTCATATAGTCATAACATGAAATAAAAAATTAGAATGAGGCATCCAATCAGGATCTACCCCATTTCTTGTTCTTTAGTTTGATTTATGTTAGATAAATGTAGAAATCATCATTTATGTTCGTGAGACTGAGACGAGATGAATGCCAAGGCAAACGTGAAGATGGATGTTCAGCTACCAGTCTTATATACTTGTTGCATTGAATCTGGAGGAATTCAGCCATTTCTGATAAGGAAATTACTTACAAAGAAGGATGCCGTGCTTTGAATGTGGGTGTTGAATCAATTTCATTTTGTGAAGGTTATCTAATTCTTTTGAATTGGAACTGCCTTACCAATCAAGGCAAACTATATTAATTAATTAATTAATATGAATGTTTGGTTTCACTTATAAATTAAAGTAAGTTGATCTAGTTTTGATAACCTGGAAACATCAGTATGATGGTTTATTTGCTTGTAAATTATTTGTATTGGAGAAATATTATGCCACTACCTAATCTCATAACCTTCTCTTTCAATCCCGACGTGTCAGTTAAGTTGGTAACTGTCACGTCAGCTCTCACTACACCTAAGATACTAAATGACTTTGAGTAGACACGAACAATCATTTCTTAGGGATGAACGATTGTTCCTTTATAAAGAATGGTTATCTCTTCATAAGAAATTGTTGTTCCTTATGAATGAACGGTCGTTCATTCCTAAGAAACGGCCGTTCATCTCTAGAGACAAACGATCGTTCATATTTAGTCAAAGTTATCAGTTAACGTGGTAATGTCAACTTTGCTACTACGTTAGGATTGTAATAGAAAGTTGTGAGATTGGGTTATAAACATATTGATTCGTAGTATTTTTGTTTGTATTGATAGGCTGATTCGTTTGATTACTGAGAAATTTGAAAGTAGTCGAATGTATCTGGTACTGATACTCCCATTGTTCAATAAGATTTCACCCTTTTAACGGACTTTCATAGCCGTTTGGTTAATTAATTTCATTTAGTTATTATACTTGTAAGATTTATTTCTTTCGAATATCCTTGTACATTGAGTTGGCATTTCCATGGATTGGGTTTAAAATGTTAATTGGGCCAGGTCCGAGACAGATTAAAATCCAAAATATTAGGTCCATTGTATCAGCTAAGAGATAATTGAATGTTGAGGTGAGTGAGTATGATGATAGATGACCATAGACTTAGCATTTAAAGTTTTCTAAATACTATATGCTTTTTCTCTCAATCCGTGCACTCTTATTGTCCGATAATAAGAAAATCTTCAATGAGTCTATTTTAGTAGCTTTCAAATCGATTAATGCCCTTACTCTTCACCATTATTATATCTCAAACCACTTCACTTCAAGTGTTATTGAAATATAATCTCACTCAAAAATTTGAGTTTTTTCTTCATAAAACTTGCTTTTTGTGATAATTTTAGTGGTGTAATTGTAATAAAATAAATTAATAGTGATTGAAAAGTAAAAGAGCATAATAAAGAGAGGAGAAATGAAAGCTTTATAACTTTCTCTCAATTGTATTGTGTACAAGAGGATGAAATGGTGCAATTCATAGCCACTTAAACCTATGATTCATTGCCAATAGACCAAGTGTCTTCAATTTAGAGATGCATGGATCATATGTTCATTTGGCAAGCAAGGTGGCAAATGGTTGGAAAAACACATCTTTTATAACACTTTCCCTTAGATTTCCATCATTTACCGAAATTATCTAACCTTACTCAAGAAAAACTCATAACAAAACCTAGCAAAGATTAATTCTATAATGAACTGAAAAATAGTGTTGGCGTGCTTCTACTACTTCATTAAAACCTTGTCGGAAGCTAATGGGACAAAACATGGTCAAGGGAAAAATGTATAGTGCCTATATGTCCAATACAATAGTCATTCCAAACTCCCCTAATCGATGCTCTCCCTAATTAATGCTCTCCTCATAATAGCAAAATTAACTTAGTTACTTTAAGTCTTGCATACCAATGTCATATACTAAATTTTTAAATGTTAATGTCGGTAAGATCTTAGTGGATAATTTGCAAGATTATCA